CCCAGCCCAGATGTCACTAAAAGGAGTATGTTGTGTTTTGGAGGTCCTGCAAAGCTGTGCTCTGGTGTCTGTCCTGGATCTCTCCAGCAAAACTTTGGGTAATGAACAATGAACAAAACCTGTGGCTTAGGTAAAATGTTTCATGGAATGCAAACACCAAAGTAAAAGTGACTGATTTACTTAGTCTGAAAACTGGGAGGAATGGAGGCATCTAGTTTCTTTGTGCACAGGACACGTCTGAGCTGTGCTGTAGTGTCTGCTCATGGCTGAGCTCCCCTTTATTGCAGGTCGTTGGTACTAATCAGTTGGTACTAACTAATGCTGTGTTAAACATCTATGATTGTGTGAAAGAAATCCCTGGATAAAGTCTATATGTACTCTGTTAGCTTCAGAGGTATTTCTATCTGTCTGTGTTATATTTTCTAAATAATATTGAGATTCTACCACTCCAGGCTTCCAGCCTCCAACCTCCACTAAAACAGAGCCTACATCAAGGCCATACCAGGGGTCCACTTTCAACTAGTAAATGCTCAGAGGGGCTTTCACTTTCAATTATCTTCGTTGAGAAATGCAGTCATGATTATGTTTTTAAAAGTGGGAAATCTACCCTTCTTGCAAAAGGAAGCAAAAGACTGTTATTGAGTGACTGAGTGAAAGTAGAAAGGCCAGTTATGAATATAAAATTGAATAAGACAATGAGCATTGTTTATATAGAACTTTCAAAGTCCAGTGAAACTGGAGCTATTAATAGGTCAATGGTCACTCATCGAACTAAAGCAAAAATGGAAACATTTCTGTCAACAACAAAGGAAGGAAAAGCAGATGAAGTGCTTCTCCAATCAGACAGTATATCACTGATCCACTCCTCTGAAGGCTCATGAAGAATAAAATGTCTAGCTCAGCCACAGTAAATACACCACCAAATAATTGTCTTCAGTTCTACATAACCCCCCAAATAAAATCAGATGAAGTGTACATAGTCTGAGGATTCAGCAAGGGTAATAAAATTTATGTATTGAAATGGAAGTTAGAGGGAAGTTGTAGCACTTAGTAGCTTGGTGCTATACCGTGTTAATTCCACATAGTCCCTGGGTTTGCAAAGCAAATATATATACCAAGTTTATATATGTCTTATATATGAATTTCCCTGACACCGAATATGGTTTGGGGTGTCAGTGGCTAATCTTGATTGCCTTGTAATATAAATTAAACACTCTTTAATGAATGCCATGAAATTCCCAGCCCTCTCAGCTTCCCTTCCTCACCACACTGTCATGACCCTATTTTCTTTGCCTGAATGTTTTTGCTAAGGTATCAGCTTGCTTTTGTGTCCTGAAATAGTTGAATATTTTCATTTAATTCTCCTTTTTGATGGACAGATTTATTGTCTATCATCTTTAATGAAATTTCCAGAGATAATATATAGGTAATTACGTTCATAAGATTTATCTATGTTCCTTTTTATAAAAGAGCCCTTTAAATGCTGTGTCATTCACAGTCACAGGAATTATTTATGGTCAGCTAATACAGGCTCAATCATTCAAATCTCACACACAAGCTATTATGTGCCTACTTGTTTTAGTTATATTTCATATGACTTTCTCTAGTTAGTCTCTGGTTCTATTTATTTATTAATTTGTATCATAGCTGACAAATTAAGTTGTTAATTATCTTAGTGTCTGAAATGAAGCAGTAATGGCAAGATGCTAGCTGGGATTTATTAAGGAGCAAAGAATCATACTTAATGTGAATAGCGAGATATGATCATTTCTAGAATCCCCTTTTAAAAAAATAACTATTTCTACAACTGTGTACATTGTGTCCCAGATAATGTTCAGAAGAACAGGCCGTTGGAGTGAATATTTACTTACATTCATATTTGCAGTTTATAAGAGTGCATCCAATTAACATCTGACTTTTAATGCTTTATGCAGTCGAACCCAAAACAATTGATACATTTTATTATAATGCAAATTTACTCCAAGGCTATTTAATACAATCCAAGAAAGAGACTATGCCCTTATCTGAAAGCGACTGATAATTTGTTTACTTACCTTAGATTTTCTTAACCCTGTAGATCTCAACTGCTACTGGAGAACTTAGTAAATATACAAATGCCCTGTTCCCATCCTGCTGTAACAAACCCAGTCTTCTGTGTATTTAATAGTGCGTCTGGTGATCCTGATACTCACCAGTTTGAAATCATAACTTAATCTTTTATGTTAATCCCCCTGTAAAGAAATAGCTCATCGGCTTGAGTTTTAGGGTAACCAAAGGATATGAACATTTGACATAGAAATAGGAAATTCCTGACAACCATTGTCACCAAGCAAACACGTGGCAGAACTTGGAGTTCATCAGTGATGGCCTCCCCAGGAGCATAATTTAAGAAACCTGTTGTAGTGAGTGCCTTCCCACTCATGGGGAATGAAGTCAGAATCATATGTGCTTCTTCCCACCCACCCCTGGTTCTTGGGAGGATAAGAATCAAGAATCCGTAAAGAAATCTCTGCTGAGTTTTCCCATGACCCAACCAGAACCTCTCAGTCCCCAGGTTTCCCAGCAGAACTCCAACCAATAAACCCACCAATTAAGCAACTGAATATCATTATGGTGAATGTAATTACAGACAGTAATTTTGAGCATTTAAATGCCTCTCGTGAATGAAACCCTTTTCCCAAACCTATCAGTTTTCTGTTCTTAAGAAAATGGAAGGCAATCTTATTCCCTGTCTCACCCCAAACATAAACTCTTCACTTAGAAGAAACCCCTTCTTGCTGGCCCAGGGGACATCCCGAAGGATATTCAATAGGCTGAGTTATAAGGAGGAATGTCCTACTGAGGTGGAGGCCTTTCAGCACCTCTGATCCAAGCATAGTTTACAAACTCCCTGCCCTCAAAAGCAATAACTAGCCATTTCAGCTGTGTTTCTTCATTTCTATTCCTCCAGGAGAATTCATACCAAATTGTAAGGATTTCTGCAGAAAACTCAAATGTTGGCGACTTTACAAAATAGTGTGGTAACTTTAACATTCCTTAAAATGGAGTTCCATAGGATGCAATTTGCTGAGGATTTAGAGTCCCTTAAAATAAAATAGACATTATAGATATATAGGTGAAAATGGATCTGAAGAGATAATGAATCTCTTCTGGCCCAGAATTACCTCTTGCATTCAGCAGCTTTATATTTAGCTCATGAAAACCTTAAGCCTTTATGGATGATAGGTGCTTAAATGGATTCTATATATAAAGGTTTGAAATGCACTACAATCACCTAAATTTTTAATCTTTTCTTTTCTCTTATGTATTTTTCTCTTATGTGTAATGAGAATGAGTGCCTATAATTGCACTAGTAGCTAACATGGTCAGAAGTTTTGGATTCATCAACCATTAAATAATGCTATACAAACTCTGGCAGAAAAATCATATGTATTTAACATCCTGATACAATGCCTAGAGCACAGTCCTGCATAGAGTGAATTTTCAAGACTCCCCTCTGACAAAGACCAAATGTTACATCCCAAAGTTACCGTTTTGTATGATATTTTTAAAGGGTTTATTGCTTCCTGGTCCAATTAGGATATTTTAAGCCACAGCATTCTGTTTATGGTGACAAAGAAATTATGTGTTGATTATTACTCCATGATTATAATTTCTCAGCACTTTTACAGAGTAACCTGAAGTCTCGTTGTTACTTCCAACTGTGCCTGAGAGCACATTACACTTTTCGAGACACCATCTTAACCAAGATTAACAGAAGACCCCTAGTAACTGTAGACTGAGTGCTTATAAAAACCCAAAGCGTATTTAATCTTTGTGATAAATTATTGAAAGTCATTTTAAATGTTTAGAAAACAGTCTTAAAATTCCAGAACTATGTACAGATCAGGATGCATTTGTCTCTCCAGTAGGGTTCTATGGCTCTTTGGGAATTTCAGCATGAAAGAAATTTATTTACAAATTATAATCTTTTAACTCCCATACGTGGTCACTTTAAAATATCTTGTTAATACTATATTTTTTCCCATTTTGACACACAGCAGCCTAAGAATTTCTGGGAATATGGAAGACCACGTGGATTGTTTTTTTAATGTATATGCATAAACAAATGTATATCTATGTATATTATTGTGTTCATTTGTATGTTCTACATCCGTCACAGTAAAAATAGGCAAGGAGGTAATATTCCCATCAGAGAAGGTTCCTGTGAGGAGGTTTTCATTATAGGTTTCCATTGTTTCCCACTTTGTAGAGAGCAAACCTTCAAGTCCCTAAATGTTCCTCAGAAAGCAATATATGTAAACAGTTAATAAAGAGATTTGAGGCTCCACTTTCTCATAGATCTCTTAATTATCCCCACAACTAAAGCACTAATTGATTTCTTTCTCTGATGACATCGACACTTGGAGACACTGAAATCATTTACAAAATCTCCATTTGACAATCTGATCTTTTCTTTCTGCTCATTAGGGGTAAGAGTATAGAACAGAGTTGTCACTCCCATGGATCCCCACAATCATGTCCCACTTAAGTAACAGGGTGTCCCTCAGGTCAGCCTGTGATAAAATCCAGGTCACACAAGGCTGAATCCTGGATGTTTTATGCCCTCAGGATCTGAAAAGTGATCACAGCCAGCTCTGACCCTTGAGACCTCAAATGGTCATCTAAGCACTCACATAAATTGGTGTCAACTAGCTCTTGGGCCATTGCCGTGGAGGCAGGAGTGGCAAAAGTACAGCCTTCCCATGGAGGAACTAATGTCTTTCTAACACTAAAAATAAGGGGAAATGTGTTGATTGCTCCGACAGGCAATCCAACTGTGGTGGCTAAATGCCCGAGGCTGACAAATTCTGCATCTTATCCCTGCCGTCAAGTGGAGGTGCATGTGAATACTGTCAGCCCCAAAGAATTGAGAAACAACTTGCCTTCCAAAACTCTGCATCTCCACAAAATCTTGACAATGCCAACAGCTCGTCATCTCATGTTTTTCAACCCTCCAGAAAATGGCCTTCCAGCCTGGGACAAACCGAAGCACTGTCCAGACCGAGAGCACAACTGGAAGCTAGTAGGGATGTCTGAAGCCTGCCTGCACAGGAAGAGCCATGCGGAGAGGCGCAGCACCTTGAAAAATGAACAGTCATCACCACATCTCATCCAGGCCACTTGGACTAGCTCGATATTCCATCTGGACCATGATGATGTGAATGATCAGAGCACCCAAAGTGCCCAGACCTTCCAAACAGAAGAGAAGAAATGTAAAGGTAACCCAATTTTTAGTAGACCATATCAGTGTCTCAACAAGGAAAACTATTCCTTATTAGAACTGTGTGCTCAGCCTCCATTCACGATGGCCGAGCGTGTCTGTGCGTTTTCTCTGTTCTGTTGGGAGGTCTTTTTCTTCTGCTAATCTTCTTTTAAACATAAATAAATAAGTGGGTTCCAAATGAAAGTAGTTGATTTTAGTTTTGTGTTGTGGAGGGCCCTAAGGACATTTTTATGTCTCTAATTAACCGAACGTTTGTTAGATTTGGCTTAAGTTCTATTTTTGAATCTGAATGGAAACCGGCTTTGCTATCATTATATAACAACTTGCTTAGACGTATGTGTGCGTGTGTTTTTGTGGGTACATTTCTTTGCCCTGGGGGAATCTTAAAGTCTAACCTAAAGTGACAATTCACACTCAAAAGAAAGGTTTGAAGTTGTTTTCTTTACTCCTTAAACCCCATGTCATCATCCTGAAAGGTGAGATTATAGTGTTAGAAGATTGTCACTTCATTAAAAAAAAAAAAGTTAAACTAGCCCTAAGTCTAATTGCATTAGATTTAACTGGTCTTCACCTCCCATCACCTCCACCCTGACAGATGTCTTTGTGTTGATCGCTTTATTGTCTTAGGGTTTCCCAAAATCTTTGCTTCTTTAATCAATGTGTGTCTTTAAATGCCCAATAAATCAATTTGTGTCTTCATATGTTCAAGTTCACCTAATTTCCACTCCTTTCCAATTTGGCATGATAGTTTGAAAAGGTCTTTTTAGTTCTTCTCTAGGATTGTTGACTCATGATAAAGTTTTGAATTGTGTGCTGGAAAATCTGGTAATCACATACCAAGAACTATCAGTAAATGTTTAAAGACTTCTATCTATGAACCATGAAGGGCTTTTGAAAATTGTTCTAACTTGAACACAATCACATGATTCTATTTATCTCTCAAAAACTGCTGGTTTTCAGCTTTTCTGAAATCACCTGACCGAGGAAGTTGAATGTGCAGATTGTTTTTGTTGAAGGTAGGATTATCTGAAAATAATAATAAAATCGTATTGTAAGTGCTGATGTGAGAGCAGGCAAAATTGTACACATTCTCTTGTGGAAATTTTCTCACTTTTACTATGTAAGATATCTGGGAATTTGACAGGAAAACTTAGAAAAAAGAACAAACTTTTTTTTTTGAAGGTATACAGAGGACAGCAGCAGGTATATAGAGGACAGCTATGTTTGATATAAAACAATTGAGATTTGGTCTTAATATTTCTAATCAGTTGTATCTTCAAATTTCATGAGCTAGGATCAAAAGTTTGTCAGTCCTTGATTTATAGTCAGGAGCTAGAGGGAAATCATAGCATCCTCATGATCTAAGAGCCTCAGAAACTATTTGATTCATTCACATCGTTATCAATGTTCATTCATTTACACACCTATTTATGCATTTATACAGCCTATCTGTATGCCTGTCATTTGTGAGAAATCTTGACCTTGGATACACATAAAGTTCCCAACATTATACACTTTTAAATTTGTTGGTTCACCTAAAAAGCAAAAGAAAAGGATCTCTATTTGGATCAAAGACCCACAATAGACTACTTGTTCAGAGCATACATTTTTGAGTCTGTTATTTCTGGGTTAGACATTCTGTCCTTTAGATATATCATATGTGACTGTTGGTAGATTGAAATAAAGTAATGTATTTGCGTATTTATCATAATACCTTTCATATAGTGTTCTCTATATAGTCGCTATCATTATTGCTGTGGTCATTGTTATTAACTATGCACCATTAAATTACATCAATTTCTTGGGCTGTACTGTGTGCTTGGTAAGAACAGATGAATGGGTGGTACATGGCATTTCAGGGATGTTACAGTTAAGAATCCATTTTCCTTTCATTCTACTCTCTTTTGTGTAAAGTCAAAAATTACTTGTTGAGAAAATACAAAAGTTCTTCCTCAAGAGTTCAGCATTGAAAAGAAAACAATGAAAGCAAACTCTCCTAACTACCATGTTCACCTTGGCACTGATGCGATACATACTTTGGTTCAGCATAAAAATGCCACCAGAAAGTCTACACTGCCATAATCCAAAAAAACTAAACAGCGTTCAGGTGGACACCTACATTTAGTCAGGCACCATGGGAGGGACACAGTGTAATTAGATGCTCTTTTTGTGTGTGTGTGCAGTTGATTTTCTGTCTGCTCTGCTTGTGTGCTAGCTTATGCAGTTACTGTGAAGAGAATTCGGTTTTGATGTCCACCTATGCTGGACATTTATTTCCTGACTGTCTATCTCCAAGCATGTTTGATATCTCAGGCCTGTTGTAGTTCCATGTATTCATCCCCTTTGTGTTTACTGAGTGTCTGCACGATTCAAAATGGTGTCCATCATGTCCCAGCATAAATAAATAGCAGCAGTGTCAAAAGAACATCCAAGTAGTCCCATTCAAGGGCCCAAAATGGGTAAGATGCCAATGTCCCTGAAGGATACAAAAAGTGAAGGATCTTCAGCACAGGGCCCAAAAGAATTTACATTGTGAAGTTGCTCAGAAAGCCCATCTCCAAAATCAATGAAGTAGCCAGTTTGGCACAGTGCAACCCTGTGTGAGGTTTGTAAATGAGCATGATTCTGCAAATGATTACTTTTACTGTTCTATTGAAGCAATCACAGAAAATGGGAGTATGCTCTAGAAAGTTCTATTACAATTTATATTGCCACTGACATTCAAATATGTGATCAGTGACTTCATCTTGCTAAACAGCATAGAGCCTGGCTGGTTATTGCCAAACTTATCTGGTCAGCAATGTGTAGCCAGAGCTAGATAAGAGTCTTATGCAATAAACTATGTATTGGGCCAGGATGGACTGGAACTTTTTTATTTTTAAATGGTCCTTCATGTCAGGTAGTTGGAGAATCACTGATTTATCTTTTACAGTATTCTTGATTTTTTTCTTCTTTAGGTTTATTTTTGCTATATATATGAAATGTTTTGTTTTTCATTCTAGTCTCTGAATACAGCCTTCTCGTTAATCTGCATATACCCTCTACAAGCATTCTAAGCAATTTGATTGGTAACACATTTAACTACATTCTAAGCAATTTGATTAGTGACACATTTAAATATATAGAGTGAGAATTTACATTCTGCTGCAGAGCCCACCACTCAAATATGCTCTAACACCACAGCAGATGGCATTAAGTGACTCTTTCCCCTTCCCTTCCCTCTTCCCCTTCCCCAACACCCCTTATATCTCCATATTGTACCGCCCTGGACTATCTGTCACCAATTGAACTGACTGCTCAGTCACCAGGACCACATCCTCCCTCACAAGTCTGAGATGATCTATTTGTTGATACTCAAAGATTACCCAACAACAGCACTAGCAGCACTTGGAACTTGTTAAAAATGCAGACTCTCAGGCCCCACTCCAGACTTATGAATTGGAAACTCTGGAAAAGGCTCCAGGAACCATGTTTTGTTTGTTTTAAGATTTATTTATTTATGCATACAGAACTGGAGTATAGGCCAGAGGTGCAAAAGATTGTGAGAAGATTCACCAGAGACAGAGTGGGGAGCAGAACAGGCCACCTGCTGAGGGGAGCAGCAGGTGGGTCAGGAGAGGTCTGCCGCACCATGCAGATCACCTCCAAGGTGTAAATCGAACTCATGCTGAAGCGGCTTAGCTGCTTAGTATTAGTATTGTGCTTTAATCCGCTGCGCCACCAGGGAGGGCTCCAGGAACCTGTGTTTTAACCATACTTCCTGGTCATTCTTTAATATGTGTGTGTGTGGTATATATTTACATCATTCATTTTTGTACAATGTATGCTTGTATGTTTTCTCCTTATAGGTGTATTCCCTGTAAAAATACCACTACCAGTTCACCCGTGAACCATCACATAGCCCTTTGTGCTCTTCTCTACCCTGTTTTGAGCCCCCTACGTCCCCCTTCCTGATGATTTTTAAGACCTGGATATATTGAATTGCCTTAGAATGCTCTTACTCTTAGTATAGGAGAGCCTCTGCCACCTAGTGGATACTTGTGTAATGTGCATTTTTCTTCCCTTCCTTAACCGCACCTGGTGAAGTCACCTAAGTGTCTGTCTCCATTCTTAATTGAAGCTTTATCTTAATTACCGAGGCATTTTCTTCTTAAGCACTCTGTATGGTAACACAGCCCTCTGGGACTTGAGCCTGTCTGAGAATCCCACTCTGTTTAACCATGACCCTGATCCTTTCCTAAGTTCCTTTAATGTTTCTCTATTCAGTCCTCTCACACCTCCTGAACTCTCCAGGAACCTCCAGACCCCACCAATTCCACAAGAATGAAGCCTAGACAGATACACGCACCTCTATAGCAGAATCTAATCAGCTCTGCTGGCCCCAGTCAGCCCTCCATACTTGAATATTTGCCCGTGATGTCAATCAGGGACCTCACATGGATCTGATGGGAGAAATGAGGCTAGACTGACCCAGTTCCCCTGGTTGCATCAGGAAAAGGATGGTAGCAACTTGGTGACTGCACTGAATTTTCTCTGTTCTGATTGAGTTTCATACCCAGGAAGGAAAAAAAGAAGTCAAAATAATTGTACTAATAAATTACTTGCTCTTCCACAGTCATTGTTGAAAAAAAAAAGTGGAAATTTCCCAAAAGCTCAATAAAAATAATTATTAACAAAATCATTTTAAATTCCATCCTCCAGGATGGGCGGTTTTAAATCTGTATTATATTTCAGCCCTTTTTCAGTGCGTATTTTTTTATAAAGGTGGAATCACACTATATATAAAGCAGCACTTTAAGGCTTTTAATGCTTAATAATATATCATGGATATTTTCCCTGTCATTAAATATTCTTCTGAATCCTGACTTTTATTGGCCATAGATTATTCTTGCTTATAGATATACCACAATTTATTAAACCAGTCCCCAAGATTTAGACAAGTTAAACTCATTTTTAAAACAATATTTTATGTCAGCAAAGGGGCAGACTATTAAC